TTTTTCATGCCATGGATCCTGCCCTGGGAATGGATGAACCCAGAACATACAGAAAGGAGTAGACTGGAGCATTTGGAGATGCATTTCTGCTAGACCACTTTGGGGGATATCCTATGCTACCATTGGAGGAGCAGTCCCACAAATATAGCTGCATTTTTTCAGGTGCTGCAGAGACGAGTACACATGTAATTTTTTTTGTGAAAATCCAGTCACACTTTAAACCCCAACACCAAGCTACATGGTTTACTGTATGTCATTTACTACTGCCTGCACAAGGTCATGTAGCACCTGTTGTGCACAGTTATATCTCTTTTTACTTAAAAATATAATAAAATCATTGAAACCAAAAAATTATTAGTAAAAGAAAATCAAGTCCTAAATTATGGCTATTTTTGCTCAATGTACAATTCACAATAATGAATTTAAAGGAAGCCTGCCATGAGAGGATAGGGGGCTGTCTTTGTTGACCAACAGCTGAATTCCAGGTAAGCAGTTAAATAAACCCCTGATGAAGTCACGTGTCCTATTGATGTAACGTACATAAGCAGGAGCTTGGGAGCAAACTGAAAGATAGCAGTGCTGCAATATGTATTAGGAGGGTCTTAATCCTTTTTGGATGCTTTTTTTTATCATCTATGTTTGTGAGTATGCTTTTATCACATTAAACTTTAGGTGGTTTTACGGAGTACACTATGGAGTGTCCTGTTTTTGTCCCCATCTGCTAAAATTCATTAATATCGATTGGGAGCGTGTTACCCTTTCGAGAACATCACATGAGCTGTGAAGTGAAAAGATTGATTAACATTGGGTATCTTCCCGCCTGTGATTGAAAGAGGGAAGTGGTGTTTTTAGACCTTTATAATATAAGGTCACATCGAGAGGTGAGAGTAAAGGTGCCCATACACCTTACGATTATCGTACGATTTTCGTATGCGATCGACTTTTCGTCAATCGTATGTGTGCATTGCAGTGTCCGACCGACAGTACTGTACAATCGTACGACTTTTGACGATCAAGCATGTTTGAAAATTTTGCTAGATCGTACGATTGTCGTAAGGTTGCTGGCGTTTCCGTCCGTCAAAAGTCGTACGATCTACACTGCACTTGCGCTAACGAAAATACGGCAAATCAATTACCGCATTTCGTCCAGGTGCTTTTCGTTAATTACGGCTAAATTAGTCTTGCGATCATCGGGGCAGGATGGGGCTGCCGTACGATTTGCACCTTTATTCTGTTAAAGGAGAACTATGGGGTTAAGTCTTTTCCCCATAGTTCTCCTTAGGGTACCGGGATGTACCCGCCCCCTCCCCCATCCGTTCCGCCAGTCAGAGCTGGCGGATCGGAGCGGGGAGGGGGGAATCCAGCCCCTCCCCTGTCACGGCAGAGAGCCGTGACAGGATCGAGTGGTGAGCGAACGCCGGTATGTGTTCGCTCACCTCCCGATCTACTGAGCCGACCTGTGACAGTCTCATTGGAAATCACTCACCTCATAGTTCTCCTTTAAGAGTGGTAGCTGGAAGTCACAGGGAACATAGAGGAATTGATTAATCACTTGCTAATTATTTTCATCCTAGTTTTGGGCTCACAATTGCATGGTATATTCATCACAAGTAGACTTTTATATACATTGTATGTCTGTGACTAAAGTGGATTACCATTGTTTTTAAGCACTATAAGTTTGTTACATTGTTTGAAACAATATAAATTTGTTACTTTGTTACATTGTTTTGAAGCACTATAAGTTTGCTACAATATCTTGACATATAGCATATGCTAACCTTTGTATTTAAGATTAGAAACGTAGTTTATCTGAGAGTGTGGCACATTGTTCACGTTTATCTATTCAGTTAAATACAAGGATGAAATACATCTGAGAGAACTGTTTATCCACCAAAGGATTTGCATTTATGTCCATCACATTCTGAGACTAAAGGTGCCCATACACTGCTCGATTCTCGTACGAGAATCGCTGGAAATCCCGCGATCGTACGAGAATCGAGCAGTGTGAAGACGTGCGACCGTTTCTACTGTACGGTCACACGTCTTTTGTCTAAGGAGCACGCTAGAAAACCAGCCGAAAATCGTACGATTTTCGGCTGGTTTGAACGGTGCTCGGGAGACAAATGCCGAACGGGCCGGTGTGCGCACGCGCACACTGCCCGTTCAGCATTGCGGTCATCGGGCTTGCGATGATCGAGAGTACGATCTGCCTGTCCAAGATGGGCAGATCGTACGTTTTTTTAATTACTTTACAACCATCGCAAGACTAAGGTCTTGCGATGGTTGTAAAGTGTATGGCCACCTTTACACAGATGATTGACACTGCACAGCCCTCTTTGGCAAGGAAGGAGATCTGTTTTTACAGACTTTTAACACTTACAAATCTCGCCTCTCCCCACAACCTGTGACTGGACAGTGAAAGGAAAAGCAGCAGACTGATGAGCTGATATCTCTGTCATTCTGCACCCTGCTACCATCATGTCCTTTGTGTCTCTGATATCTACCTGGAGTCCAACTTTAAATACATTTGGAATCACTGACTCATAACACTCATCCAGGTCAGTAGACTCAAAAGTTATTATCTGTATACCTTAACACAAGAATGTCAGCATGACAGCCAATCATAAAGCATTTTCAGAAGATTAGCAATGGCAGCCTTCAGTTTTCTCTCATGATCGGTTTATTTAACCCTCAGATTGCTCAAATGCCACACTGCTAATGATGAATAAAAATACAATGTTTCTTATAATGTATCAAATTTTTAATATTTATTAAAAAACATATAACATTATATACATATCCAATTTTTACAGCAAAATTAATACATAGAGTACAGTTTTAGACTTGCTTCCGACATTGTGTGTACTAAAGCAGTGGGCTTCTTATAAGCTGGAGAGTATCTCTGGGTCTATAACTCTGCTAGAATGATGCCAGGGTCTCTGTTGAAAAGTCAGAGGGGGCAATTTATCAAAACTGGAGCAGACAAAATCTAGAGCAGCTGTGCATGGCAACCAATCAGCTTCTCTCTTCAGCTTGTTCAGTTAAGATTTGAAAATGAAAGAGAGAGGCTGATTGGTTGCCATGCACAGCTGCTCCAGATTTTGTCTGCTCCAGTTTTGATGAATTCCCTTCAGCTATCCATCATACTCTGCATTTTAGGCCCATTCATTAAATGCACACTGCGGTGTGTAGCTGATGGATCCGCAAAGTGTTCTCTCTCTTGCAGCAGAGAAAGATCTGTGATTGGAGGAAATCCATCCTTCTGCTTTATAATTATTTTAACATGCACCCATAATGCTGCTTTATAAATGAACCCCTTAGAAACTTTGCAGGCCTTAGCTCCTGTGTTCCTCAGACTGATTCCACTGTGATTTTGAGGGGTCCTCATTTTAGATTTTCCTACTGTGGCCCTCCACTTTGGACACTCTTAACATCTGACAGCTTTTTCCATCATGCAAAATAAATACAAATTAAACAGGAACAGGAGATTCCCTCATATGAACTTTACCACATGGTTGGACCTGAGACCTCAAGTGTTAGGATCTTGACAGTTGAAGAATCTGTTGGGTGATCCAACTCTTCAGCACATTTCAAACATTTAAATATTATTTATTTCTTATTATATAGAAGAAATTATCATTTTTTCTCTAGAAAAGTTGATTTACATTCCTGATTTCCAGGCATAGACCTTGCCCTTCTCTTATCACAGGTTCTTAAGTTCACAAGTTATAAACATAATTTCTAATATATATATATTTACTGGAGCCTATGAAAACACACAGATCAAAACTGTAAATCATAGAAAACTATTCATAAGAACTTATAGTTACAAATTCACATATCAGAAGGCACCTTTGGGCCAACCCACAGCATATTATTATTATTCTACAGGATGTATATAGCGCCAACAGTTTGTGCAGTGCTTTACAATATAGGGAAGACATTACAATTACAATACAATTCAAGACAAGATAGTGAGGGGCCTGCCCGTGAGAGCTTATAATCTAAAAGGGAGGGGCAAGTGGTACATGAGGAGGTAGCTGTGTGGGCATGAATTGTTAGAGAATGTGATGGTTCAGTGGTTAGTTTGAGGTGGGATAGGCTTCCTTGAAGAGATAAGTCTTTAGGAGATAGACGGACAGGTTGGGATAAGAGTTCCAGAGGATGGGAGATACTTTAGAGGAGTCCTGCAGGTGAGCATGGGAGGTGTTGATGAATGGAGCTGGAAAGCAGGAAGAGCGGAGTGGACGGTTAGGGTGATACTTTGAGACAAGGTTGGAGATATAGCCGGGGACAGAGATGTGGATGGCGTAAGTGGTTGTTAATATTTTGAATTTTATCCTTTGGGCTATTGGAAACCAGTGGAGGGATTGGCAGAGGGGGTTGCAGACACTGAGCGGTTGGTTAGGTGAATGAGTATAGCAGCAGCATTCATGATAGATTGAAGGGGGCATAGTCTGTGTAGAGGAAGGCCAATGAGGAGAGAGATGCAATAGTCAAGACGAGAGATAACAAGGGAGTGGATGAGTAGCTCTGTGGTTTCATTGGTGAGGAAGGGGGGTATTTTGGAGATGTTACAACGGTGAAGGCGGCAGGATTTGGATAGTGATTGGATGTGGGGCAGAAAGGTGAGGTTCGAGTCAAGGATGACACCTAGGACCTTGGCATGAGGGGAGCATACTCTGGGAGTCATCAAAATTAACCTTTTATTTAAATCTAAATAATTAATCAATATCTTTTTCAGGTATACCTTTTCTAACATTATATCGTTCTCAATAGTGTACAGTAACAAGCAAGAGAAAAGACTGTCCTTATGGCAGCTATACTGTGTTACCACATTGACTGCAGTTGGCTTGCATCACCAAAATCTATTTCATGGCATCAAGTACTAAGGAAAGCTGTAAATGGAGCATTGGAGGAACAAGAAACACCAAAAATAGGCCAAGAGAAGAAACAGAACCTCTGCATCCTGAATTATGTGTCCCAGATGAAAATCACCTAACAACAGGCACATCAGTCATGATTCAGTGTAAGCCATGATACTACTCGCTTATAGAACTTGAAAGTGTTTTGGTTTGTATATTTCTGGTGGTTCTTGAACTTATCTCAGGTCTACTAAAACAGTATTGAAGCAAACTCCTGTGCTTTCACAGTGTTTAATGATGAGTTTGTTTGTTCACTATTCAGTTTTTGTCTGGGATGAAGATTCCATGCAAGTCCAAATGTATGCTGGCACTGATACTGGCACGGCCTATTTCTTTGAATGTTTTGGCATCCAGTAGAAGTAGAAATGGGGATGTTTTTGGATTGGAAGACACAATGGAAGATAATATAACCCCTGCAATGATACATTGTGGGAAAAAAAACATAATGAGTATTTGTTGAGAGTTTTGTGAAAGAAGCTACAATCCATGTACTATAAACCCTGACTGGATGACATTTAGTTTGTTAAAACGCTGTCCACCATAAACAATTTCTACGCTTTTTTAATTCTGGCACAGCACTGTTTTCACCTTTCTTTCATTATTTTTTTAATTCACATCCTGTCTGCTTATATTATTTAGGGCATGCTTCCTGTTGGCGACAACATTGGAACGTACCCACCAAATGAGCTTCATCAGGGTCGATTATATGTCCAAACAAGGACCTTCAACTGTGATTATCAATAGGGATGTGCTTAGCTCCGGACCGAAACAAGTTTGAACCTGAGCTCCTCCGAGCACGGAAGAAGCTTCTCCGAAAATGGAAGAAAACTCCTTTCGCTAAGAAATTCTCTGCCCCCAGCTGCATGTAAACAAAGGGGCAAGATGCAGTGACATCATTGACCTTATATGGCTCCATGGTGGAAGGCAGTGACATAATTGACCCTATATGGCTCCATGGTTATATGCAGTGACATCATTGACCTTATATGGCTCCATGGTGGAAGGCAGTGACATAATTGACCTTATAGGGCTCCATGGTGGAAGGCAGTGACATAATTGACCTTATATGGCTCCATGGTTATATGCAGTGACATCATTGACCTTATATGGCTCCATGGTTATATACAGTGACATAATTGACCTTATATGGCTCCATGGTTATATGCAGTGACCAAGGGAAAATTACCACGCAAATGCAGGTACCAGCGTTTGGCGTCTTTATTGATAGATCTTAAATTAAAAAACACAGACGAGCCCTGCCATACAGCCACACGCAGCAGTGTGCAACTGAATGGCAGGGCTCATCTTAGTTATTTGAAATGAAGATCTTTGTAATAAAGACGCCAAACGCTGGTACCTGCGTTTTGTGGTAATTGTCCTGTTGTTTACTGAGTTGGGGCGTGAGCAAGCTCTTTTACCTGCACCCAGGTTGCTCTCATGAAGCTGGAACTCTGAATGGGAATTGGAGCGGTGATATTTTTTCTTATAAGCTATATGCAGTGATGTAATTGACCTTTTATGGCTACATGACTATATTAGGTAAATGGGATTTACCTAACATGGCCAGGTGACCATATAAGGTAAATGATGTCAGCACAAGCATCCTGCCCCTAGTCAGCTGTGTGGCAGGAAATGCCCCAACCTGCAGCTGATTGGGTGGAAGGCCCATGTAGCTTCCATGATCCAAATTAGTAAACTAAACGAGATTATAGACCATCACAGGAGTGAGCTTGGAGCAGTGGCTACTTTACAACACACACAGAGACCATGGGGAACAAAAGTAGCCACCCTCCAGAAGGAAGGACAGTGTCAGCACCAATTCAGAGATGATTTGAGTATATACAGCCGAGTGATACACAGATAAGATACATTTTGTAAATAGTTAAAAGAGAACTATGGGGTAAGTGCTTTTCCCCATAGTTCTATTTAGGGTCACGGGGGGCATGTACTAACCTCCTCTCGTGACCCAAAGCTCAGTATATCGCCACAGCCGGGACGAATCCCGACAATACAGTCTGGATCCAACCAGTTGCGTGAGTGACAGCTGGCTCTGCCTATCTAGAAGCAGAGCCAGCTGTGCCCGCCCCCTCCTCCGTCTGTTCCTCCACTCAGCACTGGAGGATCCGAGAGGGGATGGGGGGAATCTCTGTAGGGAGCGGGTTACTGACAGTCACCGCTCCCTGCAGGGAGACGATCGGAAAGTGATTGGTGCATGTTTTTGCTCACTTCCCGTTTGATAGAGCCGACCTGTGACAGCTTCTATGTCACAGGTCGGCTCTAACTATGAGGATGAGTGGAAATCACTTACCTCTTTAACCCCTTCATGACTGAGCTTGTTTTCAGTTTCTGTTCATAAATGACTGACACACTTTTTACATGTTTGCTGTGTGATTCTTCCACGGCAGTAATATACTTTCTTACAAAATGAACCCACACATATTATATATTGTTTTTTAGAGGACAGATAGGTACACATGTTTGATATAATTATATAGCCCTAACGCCTCACTTAGTTCGAATAAAATATTTTTAAAAATTAGGTAAAAACGTAAAGAAAACACTTTTTTCACAAGTTTTGATTATTATTATTTTTTAGAATTTTTTTTATAATAATCATAGTATAAAAAATATATTTAAATATAATTTCTATTTTCTTAATTCTTTTTACACTTTATTTATTTTTACCCTTTTTTGTCAGTTTATATCAAGCAGTCACTATGACTGCTTGATAAATTATTTTTTTTTTAATTTTTGTTTATTATAGGCTGCTCCCAACTTAGGAACAGCTAATAATAACCTTAGAGACTGATCCTGACAGCATGTCAGAATCAGATCTCACTAAGGCCCCATTCACACTGAGCGATTCGCAAATCGCGCGTTTGTTGCGCAATTTGCATTTTGCGCGATATCGCGCAAATGGTTGCATTGAGCAAACTAGAATTGCGGCAAAATCCGCTCCAAAAAGGGTCCTGCTGTAGCGACGCACGACCCGCGACAGCAACGGACAGAGCCCCATTGCCATGCATTGGAGAGCGATATCGCGCGGTAAATTTCCGCGATATCGCACGATAAATTGCTCAGTGTGAATGGGGCCTAAAGGTTTCTGATCGTGCCCAGACGATCAGAAGTGATACATTTCAGGCACAGAGATACATTGTAACACTGTGCCTGAAATGTATCACACAGCTTTATAGACATCAGGCAAGTCTATGGAGCTGTCAAAACGAATAGCAGAGAGGTGACTCATTCTGCTACCTCTCTGCTATCTTAGCTGTCAAATACGGGATCGATATTTAGCGATCCCGTATTTGCATGTAACGGCTTCATTCTTTCATTAATGAAAGAAAGAAGCTTTTTACAAAAGCTTAACTATTTCATTAATGAATGCCTCAATACTGAGGCATTCTTTAATGACTGGTAACCGCTGAGAATCAGCGGTTACCAGCTTTACAGAGCCCCAAATAACTGGTCGCGCACAGTATACGGGCCGGTCATTTAAGCATTTTGTGGTGGGACATACAGTGTAAGTCTCTCGTCACGAAGGGGTTAAGGTACTTGAATGTATTTTTAAGATTTGGTGTGTATTAAAAATGCATAGATATAAATGAGCTGCAAAGCTTTTCTTTTTTTTGATAAGTTTTTACAGACCTGAAGTAGTAAGTGGGAATCCATTATAACTTACCATCATCTTCTTCTTTAGCATCTGGATGGGGCACAAACAAAGGTTCTGCCGGCCAGCACATGTTATCAGTCCACACTAGCATTTCCTTTGTGACAATGTCAAACTTCACTATCTAGATCATGTACACCAGAAATATAGTTATTATAAAGGCTCCAACACAGCAAGCACATGCACACATGTAAACATTCCACAGAATTTGGGTTTTGATAAATTAAACATACATGCAATTCGTTTTTTCATCAATATGTAAGACTTAAATGACTTTGGTCTGTGAGTGTTTATATGCTTTTATTGCCTTGTTAAGCGTGCATGACAATTGCTTGTAAATAGTTGTATTGGATAATTGGATTTGCTGAACAGTTCTGCTACAGCTTAGGCCTTGTTCACTCTCGAAACAGCCGGCACATACAGCTCCGTGCTGCGTGCAAGGCCGTATCACTCAGCTCCCAGGAAGGACAGGTGCTGCGTGTGATTATTACGCAGCCCCCGTCCTTCTCTATGGGACTACGCGGCCATACGCCCCCCTACGCTCACCCGCCCTGCACGTCCGTACGGGTGAGCATCTACGTTCGCTGACAGGATGCATCCTGTCTGCGTCCGAGCCAGGAAACACGCACTCGTACGGACCTACACTTGAGGTGAGCGTAGGGGGGCGTATGGTCGCATAGTCCCATAGAGAAGGACGGGGGCTGCGTACTAACCACACGCAGCACCTGTCCTTCCCGGGAGCTGAGCGATACGGCCGTGCACGCAACTGTACGTGCAAGCCGTTTCTAGTGTGAACGAGGCCTAATGCTGGGCACACACCTTACAACCATCGCAAGACTTTTGTCTTGCGATAGTTGTAAGGTAATTAAAAAAACGTACGGTCTGCCTATCTTGGATAGGCAGATCATACTTGCGATGATCGCAAGCCCGCCTCGCTGAGGGGCGGGCTTCCGATGACCGCAATGTTGAATGGGTTTTTATCTTACGAACATGCTACACACCCGCCGAAAATCGTGCGATTCTCGGCGGGTTTTCGAACATGTTCCTAAGATAAAAGTCGTGCGACCTTACAGTAGTAGAGGTCGCACGGCTCCCACACACCTTATGATAATCGTACGATCGCGGGATTTCCCACGATTATCGTAAGGTGTGTGGCCACCTTAACAGTTATTATCAGATCATAAAAAGGGGTAGCAAAGATGATACAGACATGATTTATTCACGTTTTATATTTTTTCATATGAATAGAGTAAATATATTACACTCTCAGTAGGTCTTGTGGTGTATATCAAGCCCAAAACATTTTTCTTTTGTTTAGAGTCGAGAAGAACCCCTTTCAGGTTTTAATCGGAAAGGTGGCCCCTTTGGACCGTAACCCTTATCTCTTATGTGTGTTTAAAATCACATTTGTTCTTAACCTCTTAAGGACCAAGGCCTTTTTTTCTGTTTTTTTGCTTACATGTTATAATCCACATTTTAGGCCTGAAAATTACTTCAAACCCCCAAACATTATGGGGGGAATTTATCAATAATGGAGCAGACAAAATCTGGAGCGGAATTGCACTGCAACCAATAAGCTTTTCTCTCTCATTTTCAAATCTTACCTGAGCAGAACTGAAGAGAGAAGCTGATTGGTTGCCATCTGGGCCAGATTCCCGACAAGGCCACCGAGGGCGGCACGGAGCAGAGGGGCGGCACAGGTTTGAAGGTTTGGAATCCCCCAACGCCCCGAACATGGAGTTCCGGGCGCCGGGCGGTAATTTGTTTTCTACATTTAACCCTGCTTTGCGCAAGAAGGGCTAAATGTAGAATGGGGAAACCACTTGTTTCTTTACAAGTGATCTTGGCGATGCCCCCCTCTCCGTCCTCTCCTCTCTGGCCGCCGCTGTCTTCAGGATGGAGAGCGGGGAGCAGGGCGGCAGGGTAAAAACTAACACTGCCGCTCCGTGTAAACAGTGAGAGGGGAGAGCAGTCTTCCCCTCACACAGGAGCTTGTTAGCTCCTGTGTGATAGCAATGAAGTTAAGGCTAAAAAAAATTTGATTAAAAAAATTACATAAATAAAATTTAAAAAATAAGTAAAAAATAATAAGAAAATAATTATAAATAAAACATTGGAGGGGGGCGCATTGCGGAGACTGGCCTTGGGGCAGCAGGGAGAGTAAATCAGGTCCTGGTTGCCATGCAGAGCTGCTCCAGATTTTGTCTGCTCCAGTTTTGATAAATTCCTCTCTATGTATTTCCTAAAAGCCAAGACCCTGTAGAATTAAATGGTGGCAGTTGCAAGTGTTTCTGTTGTACGACATTAGTGCAACTTATTATCAAACCCAAAAATTTAGTGAAAAATGCACTAAAGTTACATTTAGTGCCCCAAAGCACTATATAAAACCATTTGTTTTGTAAAAATTGGGTGCATCTGTAAAACGGGGACAAAATTCAGTACCCCTAAAATCCGTAGACGAAGTTTTAAAAGCCCCTACAGGCCATCAGTTTTGAGATAAGCGTAAATATTGGCCCTATAATTATTGCTCTCACTCTGGCGTGTGCGGCTGTACCCAACATGTGTAGCGCAATTGTCGTTTTCGCTCGATACGGAATTATCTTGTCATGGGTTGTGAAAGGGTTAATAGAAGTATGTGGAGACTGAGAATGTACATGTTCTTTGGGGCTTTTTGCTGTTTTTTTCTGCTTTGTATTTCAGGTAACAAGCTGCCTGCTGTTGCTAGGAAGATTTACCTCAGTTGCTGGGCGGAGCTTAAATCAGCTGCATGCTGGATTGGTGACAGATTTTTTGTGGGAAAACAGCTGGCCAATGAGTGTAACCTTTCCCCTCTATAGTCCCTCCTGTCACTGGGCGGGGTCAGCAGTTACCTCAGGACTGGCAGCTGGACTCTCCTTTGCATCTAGTCACCGGCTCCCCTGAACACCATCCTATATGCTGGTTTCCCTTGTTGTGGTCAGTCTTTAAGGGGTAATGTCACACACGTTGTGGGTGGACAGTGGTTGGTAAGTTGTTTCTGCTTCAGTCTTAATGGCTAAACACTGTGGTCTGTAAATGGTTAGCAGTGGTCCTGTTTGATAATGAAGTCTATTTCATGGGAAAAGTTTATTTAGACCTAATAAAGGGCCCGAGGCCTATAGCTTTCCCACAGGCTTTCTTTTATGTCTACTTTAATATTTAGGTATATTGCTATGGTATGATGGGTGTTAATGGGCAGTGTACATTCCCATTCCGCATCCACTGCCAGTCCGCTGTGACCCCCCTAGTCCCCATAGCAGGTTCCCCTCCCTTTTGCCATTGGTCCTAACACAGAGTAGAGGCAGCTCTTGCCTCACTATTTTAGGTTTCACAAGCAGTGGGGAAGCCCGTTGTTGTGTAACCTAACTACCTGTCAAAAGCCAGATGAAGCGCTGCCTGTAATTAACAGGCAGTGCTCCATCCATGGCAGGTTACATAGTGGGGAGGCCTTCCCTGCTGTGTAATCTGTTACAAAATGCTCTGAATGGAGAAAAAGCTTAAAGCTGGCATCTTTTTCCTCAATAATACGAGGTGAGACTCTGCCTCACCTGCCTCCACTGACCGCACGTGCCTGCTGTAATGTAATAATAAATACATTATATTTACCTTGGTAGGAATTGGACGCCATTCAACATGAGAAGCATAAACATATCTGTACTTCTTGCCATTGTACGCGTAGTTAATTCTAGGTAGTTCAATTCCTAAAAAGACAAGACATGCACACAATCATTTATTGGAAAATACAAATACTTTAGTCCAGGGGTGGGCAAACTCCGGCCCTCCAGCTGTGGTGAAACTACAAATCCCATAATGCAGCTGTCTCCCGGAGTTATGCCTGTGGCTGTGAGAATCTTGCAATGCCTCATGGGATTTGTAGTTCCACAGCAGCTTGAGGGCCGGAGTTTGCCCACCCCTGCTCTAGCTGCTGCTACTGCTTTGGCCCCTAAAGGCAAAAATGGCAGCTTAGATAATTCTGTCACTGGTCATGTATATTCAACAGTCATCCAGTAATTACATTTATTTTACCCTCATGTACGTGCAGTGGCGGACTTAATAACCAAAGGGCCCTGGTGCAAGATTTTATCTTGGGCACCACTCACAAGACGACGAGGGGGGGGGGGGGCGGATCACACTGGCCCCCGCCCCCCCGTATTATTAATTACATGAAAAAGTAACAGTAGCAGTACACAACCCTTCACAACTCCCCCCCCCCGACGCTCGGACTTACCCAGCCAGAGGATCGCAGCAGGCAGGGAGTTTCGATGTGTGCACTGCAGGGGGCGGGGCTTGTGACACACACAGCCTCCTGTCACTCACCTCCCCTCCCGCCGCCTGTTACTATGGACGTGGCCTGTTACTATGGACGTGGCCTGGAGGGGAGGTGAGTCACAGGACCCGCCCCCTCACTGAGAAGAGACACAACAGATGGTAAAAAAAAAAGGTAAAACACGCACTGTTATGCATGTTGAAAAAGCATTGCAGCGTGGAGCAGCTCAATATAAAAACACATGCCAGAGCAGTACTGCATGCAGGCTGTGAATAAACGTGTGACTATGTTCACACCATGTCCGGACCAGGTCTGGAGCAAATCTGCAAAAGCAGTGCAGTGCATGTTTGCCGCGATTTTGCAGTTTTTGTTTTTTGTCTGTATGCCTTTTTTTTGCGTTTCCATGCGTTCCGCTGCATTCCAAACCAAGGGAAATGAGACATGCAGTATTTTTTTGGTCTGGACCGGAATGGACTGCGCTGGTGTGAACAGAGCCCAGAAATACCATAGGGATACATTGGGATGCTTTTTTTGTCTGGGAACAAACTCTTCTGGTCTGGATATGATCCGGACATGGTGTGAACAAGCCCTTAAACAGATTCTTATGATGAAAGACTGTTAAGCAGCAAATAAATGCATGAACCATGAAAAGGTATCTGTATTGTCATTAATGTTGTGTCCTTCGTCTGCTGAGCAAGATATTATCATGTTCCACACAGTAGTATTCAATAAGGCTCCTAAGCATGTGGAAGTCAAAGTCACAAGACCTAAGCTAGCCATACACTAACAGAGGCCTCTTGTTCACCCCAAAGGATGAACTTGAGAAATCTAATAGGCTGTTTGGCATGAATAGAGGATTCTTCCCTGTTGACTATTGCATTCAGGCAGCAGGCACCGGAGACTGTCTGAATACCCAAACAGTGACTGCAACTGTTTGGCTGCAGTCACTGTCTGGCCATTTTTTACCTGACTCCTGTAATTTTTCAGTCAAAGGTTGATGAGATAAGTGAAGTTGAAAGGGCCACCCATTGCTTGAATTTCGGTTGATTCAGCAGTTTTACTTTAATGTGTTAGTCAAGTCCATATAAATCTGCTAGTACATCTAACACTACTGTCATTTCAGGGAGACAATGCTGGTGTCCAAGAGTGGTTCCGTTGCCCATCCATAGAGTGGAGCCACCCTAGGACAGGAGGCGTGTTAGTAGCCAGATCACTAGGTGAAAATAAAGGAAAGATAGCCTTAAAATAAATAAAACTAACACAGCCACCACATTTAAGGATTGGTAAGTTGCAATATATTACATTTTTGTTTTGGGTTTACGTACTCTTTAATAATCTTCTTATCATGTTGTTCAATCAGATTTAAATCAATAGCATTGAGCTCCCTACCTTCACATATGATCTCCGGCTGGCAGTGTATCTCTCCATCTTTAGTTTTGACCGCTGTTGCGGTAGTCGTAGGAAGTTTTACAAGGTTCTCTCCCACTTCTGCTTTCTTAAAAGTCAAATAGAACATGTTAATACCTATTTCAATGAATTTGCATACACAGTGCAGTAAGAAGCTGTATATTTGTACAGTGTGGAAGAATGAGTACATGTCACAGAGCAGAGAAAAAGAAATAAGAGCAAAGGCTTTACTGCTTTAAGGATTTACATATAAATATATCTGTTTGATTTCTACTAGTAAAAGATCAATGCACCCATAACTGATATGGTGGCTTTGGGGACCCCAATCCTCATGGGGTGTTAGCAACCATAATTGCCATTAGCTTAATGTGCAAATAAAAGTTGCAACCTTCACTTCCTGTCTCAGAGACACAACAAGAAGCTAGAGGAAATATTCCTAAGTGAGGGGGATTTTCATTATAGGCTACATTCACATGGGTGGAAGCCTCCACCGCCCTCTGAAAAGTTATCCACGGTGGATCGCTTTTCAGAGGGCGGTGAAGCAGCAGCTGTCTAGCGTTCAGGAGGCGATACTAGTGCCTCCTGAATTCAGTTTTCATTTTATTACCACAACAGGGATTTCTTATTGCACTACTGAACCGCAACATCATACCTTCACAGTTGCAGCATGGTCCCATTCATTGCAATGGTCACATTTGACAAGCTGCACCACTGTCAATTGTGCCATGCTGCACAGCCGCAACAAAGTACAGTATACAGCACTGTTCGGCCACAGTGCTGACATGGCAGCAGACAGCTGCAGATCAACCATCTGGTTTTACCACCCCTTGCCATCTGTGTGAACGGTGCCTTAGACAGTTGTCCTGGGAACACAAATCTACATCTTCCCGTTACCATTTTGTTCTGTGAACAGCTCTAACATTTTGGATTTCCTTTCACTTTATAGCTAGGTGACAATGGTCAGCAGGACAAACTTAGGGGTGAATCTTACTGATGGGGATACAGACAGCAAAAAAAACTTAAAAAATATTGTACCCCCCCCCCCCATCCATAAAGGTTTTGCCTAGAGCCAGATTTTATAATACATAAGGCGGTAAAAACCTATCTTTAATATTTTCACTTATTTCTTGTTTCACAGATTTAAAAGACGTGTTCCAAATGCTAAATAACTGAAGCACAGTAATATGTATTGCAGGATATTCAGGAAAAGCCCAGATACAGGATTTATTCTAACCACTTATTTCCTGAAATTTCACAATTCTACAAAGAATTTGGCTCCTTTCAATTTTGGCAGGAATAAATCATAATCACAGGAACTCTGCACCACCCTTTGCACATGCCTGGTACCAAAAAGGTAAGCAGACTTACTGGATAATGTGTGCCGAAAGCAATGATGATTTACAAGGTATAGTAAAAGAACCGATCAGATTTAATTTGCTGAAGTCACAACAACTTTAATGTAACACTAAACTCAGGAGCTAAAACTTAAAAATGCATTCAAGTAACTTAATTATTAACAAAAAAATATATTTTTTGTGTATCACTCAGCTGTAGATCCTTAAATCATCTCTGAATTGGTGCTGACACTGTCCTTCCTTCTGGGCGGTGGCTACTTTTGTTCCCCATGGTCCCTGTGTGTCAGTGGCGGAGCTAAGAAACAAAGGGCCCTGGTGCAAGTTCGGCGCAGAGATGGGGGGCCTGCTGGCCGCTGGGTACCGATCCGGCGCTGGGCCCCCAGAGCCCCAAGGCCCTGGTGCGTCCGCACCGCCTGCACCGGCGGTAGTTCCGCCACTGCTGTGTGTGTTGTAAAGTATCCAATGCTCCAATATCACTCCCATAATGAACCGCAATCTCAAATTCAGTTTACCAATTTGTATAGAGATTGTAGTGCATTCTGGGAGTGAGCTTGGAGCAGTGGCTACTTTACAATACACACAGGGACCATGGGAAACAAAAGTAGCCACCCCCCAGAAGGAAGGACAGTGTCAGCACCAATTCAGAGATGATTTGAGGATCTACAGCTGGGTAATACACAAATAAGATACATTTTTGTTAATAATTAAGTTACTTGAATGCATTTTTAAGATTTAACTCCTGAGTTTAGTGTCATTTTCATGACCCATCCATATTGCTGCATTGCCATAACAAGCATTAAAAGTGCGTTTTAACACACTTTACCACAACGCCAGTCATTGGATAAGAGAGGATCGTGACAGTGATAAGTCCCCTGTCACATCTCAGAATGCCTTGTATGGTTTGAAAAGAATACAAGACATTTTATGAATGGAGGAGCTGCAAAGCGAGTGACCCGCTGTATTCCAGCGACAACTGTCAGTTTCACCCCTCGAACGTCAGCAGCGACGTCCCAGGCAGAGGCTGCATCTAACTAAAATATTGCAAGAACAAAGCTACAATCACCAGTGGGGCACACATCACCACCTTATTGGTACCTAGCTAATGCCCCAATAAAGTGTTAGCCCACACTTCAGCTTTTAATGAAAGGCTGCTTGTAGTGAAGGCAGGTATTTTGTGTGCTGAAAATTCATCTATTCAATTGTCCTGGTGATAGTGGCTTTACTGAAGTATTGGAATATGCAAACCCTAACAATCAGCTTATCTTATTTGCCCTCTTTTGGTCTGTTAACTATACTATTGGAAGCTTTTTGTTATATTGTATATGTTTGGTAAGTGCAAAAGAAATCTGTCTTGATGTCAGAAATTCAGAACTGCCCTGGGTCCACTGCACACTTCCTGTGTTATCATTAACAGCCCTCTGAGTTCTTATCATGGACTATAGAATGATCAGCCTTTATGGAATAGAGATCTGGGAGGTGGGAGTGGTTGGGAAGTTTAGCAAAAGACAACTGGGAGGACTGACAACACTCAGTCCACAAAAATGCCTACAATAGGACATAGGAGCTGAGTACATTTCTGGCAGATCCACAGGTTCTTTTCTGTTCTTGGAGGGTCCTCAATAGGATACAACATGGGAAAATTGCATGTATTGCAAAGATGTTCTGCATATGTTGTTTATTTGACCTTTACGTAAGCTTTATGTTAAGGCAATATGAAAGTCTATCCACATAAAAAGTAGAGGCTGGGAAAAGCAAAATCCCATGATCCCTAGAAGGGGTTACAAAGATTGTGACATCCCTTTCTCCAGATTCTCCTCAGTTCTAACTCTGCTGTGCACTCCCACTTGTGATCTCTTTGCATTATACTGCTTGCATATCTGGTGCCCTGTCTATATTGTTCCCTTCAATATTGATAGTCTCTGACCACAGATACACACAAGTGAACAAGTGCAGTGTGGATATGTTAGAAATATGTTAGGCACAGCAGTAGCAGTAAATAATTAGCAAGAGCCTGTAACAGAATGAGGTAGCAGGGAAGACCCCAAATCCTGTAGGTCAATTCCCCTGGTACCTGTTTCAACTGCTGCATTACTACTGACAAGTCTTTAAGGGCTCATGCACCTTGCAAACTGTGGTTGTTCAAAATAAATTTGGGCATATTTCCACTGACAGAGAGCCACTGCTGCTGCGCACAGCCTCCCCTAGAAGTCAATGGCTGTGTGCTGCTGTAGGTAAGGTATACATTGGACTTGCATACACACAGGCATGCATACAGGCGCACAACCCCGAACACAGACTCTTTGCACTCATGGTTTGTGCACCCATATACATGTGCATGTTTACCCAAGTTCGGTGTATATCCCACCTACAGCCATTTATTTCTTAGGTAGGCTGTACACAGCACCTGTGGCTCCCTTGAAGGTGAAATATGCAAGGATTTGCATTGTATGGCCACAAACAGACATATGCATGAGCCTTAAAATATGTTGAGAGTACTGTAGTTATCATTTCCCAGCCATACCTCAGTAGATAAGGCCAAGGCAAGTATGGTCATATCTTCATGTTATACTATCACTATTATCCAATGAAGTACACCAAGCTGTATTATTAAAGGTGCAGTCTTACAATAGCAGGAGCCAAAAAAGATGAACATAAACAATGAACATAAACAAACCTTGGCACATTGAAGAGGGACAACAAACCGCTTGAAGGTTGGTATTGAGGTCGTTGTGGTTTCCTGGCAAAGGTCCTTTTCTAAATTGGCCATATAAAACATTTCATACAAACTATTGTCCTTGTATGCAATGATGTCAAATACAACATGACCGTCTTCTTCATAAGCATTTATGTGATGGTAAACCACCAAAGCATCAGCATAAAACTTTTCAGCAACTGGCTTTTTGGTTCTCTTGTCAATTATGTGAAACCAAGTCTGAAAAGAAGAGAGAGATGATTATTTAAAGCTGAGCTCCCTATACATACACACACATGTGTATATATTATACTGTATATGTATTTTTACATATCACCAACATAAATACCCTAAATGTATCTACTGGGAATGAATACACATAAATATATCTATACATAAAATGAAGTAAGAAAAAAGTCTCATAAAAACTCTTAATCTGCATGTTTGTTCCAGATCAGTGAATCAGAATGAATCGAGAGAATTAGATCAGCCTAAAGCTGGCCATACACCTATAGATTATCTGCAGATTTTCTATGGTCAGAAGGAAAAAGTGCAACAAATACTAAACTGTGTGGATGGAGGAATCTCCCACTGGGCCAAGCTTCAGTATCTTGCTAGTCGGCCCCGCTGGCTCTCAAAATAACTAAACAATCTGATTGGATGAAGGCTGAGCGGGGCGGTGCGGGAGGAGAGCTCAGCCTCCTGTGACAGCAATGGCTGTCTCCGCCCCCACACCGCTCTCCCGATCTGTGACAGGAAGCTGAACGGTGCTGGGAGGAGAGACACTCGGCCTCCTGTGACAGTTTCTCTCCTCCCCCTGGGACACAGAGCAGCGCCCAGCGGGGAGGAGAGAAAGAACAGATGCACCACTATTTGGCCAGAAAATGGCACTTTCTGCATTTTCCAAAAGTCCCATTTTCGACCGATATGCTTCGGCGGCCGATATATCGGTCCATCCCTAGTTCAAATAGAAACATTAAACATTTTAAATGCATCTTTAAATCAAAGTTTATTTTTTAATCATTTCAAATTGTATATTCAGGGGAACACAAGCACATTGCTTAGTGCAGATCATGTATTCCAGCAATGTAAATGCAATGGATCATACCTTTTCATCCTTATTGAAGATAATGCATGAACCCCAGTTGACTCCACGGAAGTAGGCAGTTGCAAGTTTCAAGATATCCAGCTTTAAGGGCTGTTCTATGAAGATGATGTAATTCTCTGTCATGCCGAAGCTATGGTAGTAGCTGGGGCTTAGAAGATGATGGGCAGGAATGGAACAAAGAACTTCAGCATTCTTCAATGGAGACTTCTTATTATCTATGACAGAATAAGGTAACATTTTAATTCATCTATGTTAGAAAATCAAAGCTGTAGATAATACAAAACGTTGTTATACACATGCAAGTGTTCCTTTTGATAGATACAACTTTGAAGTGTATATAATACAAAACATACATACATACATACATACATAAACATGCAGCAGTCAATCCTCAATTTCTGCTGCACTAGAATACAGTTTCACTTAAAGTCACAGCCCAATTGGGATAACAATTATTTTATATTTGTTATATGTTCCCATTCACATAGCATAAGCTAAAAAAAAAATAAAAAAATTGTTAAATGCTTCCTGCAGTTTAACCCCTTCATGACATGAGGCCTTTAAAAAAAAATGTTTTTGCACCCATGATATATTTCACATTTTAGGTCTGAAAATTACTTAAAACCCCAAACATTATATATTTTCTGAAAGCCAAGACCATATAGAATAAAATGGTGGCAGTTGCAAATTTTTATATTGGACGATATTAGCGCAACTCCTTATCAAACCCCAAAATCTAGTGAAAAATGTACTTAAATGCCCCAAAACACATATAATACCCATTTGTTAAAATAAAATATAAAAGATGAGGTTACAGCGAGTAAATAGATACCCAACATGCCTAGGTAAAAAATTGTGTGCTCCGTGAAACAGCAACAAACTACAGTACCCCAAAAAGTCCATAGACGACGCTTTAAAAGCCCCCACAGGTCATCAATTTAGAGATACCCAAAAATACTGGCCCTAGAATTATTGCTCTCACTGCGCGGCGATACCTAACATGTGTAGCGTGTTCGTCGTTTTCATATGTAGGCGCACCTGACGCATGTTTACGTGGCGACACACGTGCTCGCAGGGGACTTTAAAAACAATTTTACATTATTGTTAGATTTATTTTATGTAATTGTAATTTAAAAACTGTTATTTTTATTTTTTTAACTTTACTTTCATTGCTATCACATGGGGGGCTTACAAGCCCACCATGTAATAGCAGATGGTGGTAACAGGTACTCTTTAAGGTGATCATGGGGGTCCAAAAGACCCCCAGTGTCACCTTTATACTCCAAATAAGCTATTAAAGTGCAGATCACACTTCAATAGCTTATAGCTGGGCTTCAGGAGCCCAGCACTGACAGCTATGGGACCGGAAGTGATGCAATCTGCATCGCTCCCGGTCCCATAGAACAGGGAGGGGATCAACGAACGGAGGTTTGTCCATCTCCTCCCCAGCCCCTTGCCGACACCAGAGAAGCCGGTCCCGGGCCCATAGGAGGGGTATCGGAGCCTGGGAAGCCCGGTGAGGGTGTCAGGCGAGGGCGGCCCCTTCACCTGGCCGTAGAAGCGATCTGGCGACACCTGAGTCGCCAGAATCACTTCTATTGTAAAGCCAACAGTCGGCTTTACAAGTTTAAACAGGAAGCCCGGCCAAACAAGGAGCCTGCTTGCTGGGAAATCAGGGGCTTGTAAGTTCCCCTATGTAATAGCAATTAAAGTAAAGTTAAAGTAAAACAAAAATGTTTCAAAAAATAATATTAAATAAAATAAATGTAAAAATAATTAAAAACATTTTTTAAAGTCCCACGCCCCCGCAAACACGCGCGTATTCATGTAAACTCGCGTCGGGTGCGCCTACGTACGAAAATGTTGATCGCGCTACACATGTTGGGTATCGCCGCACACGCCAGGGTGAGAGCAATAATTCTAGGGCCAATATTTATGTGCATCTGTAAATAGACTGTAGGGGCTCTTGAAGTGTTGTCTATGGACTTTTTGGGGTACTGAATTTTGTCGCCGTTTCACAGGCGCACACAATTTTTTATCTGGGCATGTTGGGTATTTATTTACTCGTTGTAACCTCATCTTTTATATTTTACAAAAAATGGGTATTATATTGTGTTTTGGGGCACTAAATTTAACATTAAAGTCAAAAACTTTTTTCCCTCCCCCCAATGTTCATTAAAGCACTTACCTTAAATAATGTCTCTTAATCCGATCTTCCTCGTCTTTCCTGTCCTTTTCAGCCTTCTCTCCAGCGCAGCGGAGGCTCGCTGATCCAGCGCTGACTCCTCTGTCCTTGCTGGCACTTCCTGCCCCACGGTGTCTGCATGCGGGTGCACACGTCCATAGACTTACCTTGTGTCTCTCCTCGTCTCCCGGCTGAAAATCCGAACTGCACATGTGCCCGCCCCAAGATGCTTTGCGGCCGCCTGAGCATTATCGGATTTTACACTTTTTTTTTTACACTTTTTGCATAGATCTACTGCTTGCTAGCAGTAGATCTATGCAAAAAAAAATGGAGGGTGTAGAAACCCTTTAAGTGCATTTTTTACAAAATTTTGGGGTTTGATAAAGATTTGCGCTACTATTGTGCAACATAAAAATTTGCAACTGCCATTTTATTCTACAGGGTCTTGGCTTTCAGAAAATATATAATGTTTGGGGGTTTGATGTAATTTTCAGGCCTAAAATGTGTGCAAACAACGGGGGGAAAAAAACCATGGCAGTGTATGTCAAGGTAAAAGTAAAAAAAATATGTTTCATACATCTCTGCAATACATGTACATTTCCCTATGCTTTATTCCCTTTAAACACACTGCAAGTGCAAAAAAATAACTGTTGTGCACTCCTACCTATGCTCATAAGCATGTGGTGTCAGCCCTGCCTACTTCATTTCTGACAGATTACAAAGAACAGAGACCTCTTATCTCCTCCCCCCTGCTCATCTATATAACTCCTCCATGTGCTCAGACACACAAGAGAGCTCACACAATTTCTGGCAAATTCAACAGGTCATTTTTTTTTGCACATATCAAACAGATATAACAAAAAACCTTCAATGACGTACTGAGCTTAACAAAAGGGGGTAAATAAGAGAAGTTAATTGTTAGGGTTTTCATATACTGGCCAAAGTTTGCCGAATGACAAAAGTCCAAGAGAATAGGGTCTGAGGGATCCTTGTTGCACTAATGTGTCTAGGAACCATGAGACATTACATTGGTTAAAAGAGAACGTAAACGAGGCTTAATTCGCTAAAAACTATGGTGATTGCTTTATGCCATACTAATCATTATTTTTATCAATGCGATTCATTAAGAATGGCTGAACATTCCATTTCTAACCAGTGTGCCTAGTTCTCTTGCCACACAGGTACTAATAACATACCTGTGTAAGAACACACTCTACACTCTGTGACTGATACTGAATTCTCCTGAGACGCATCTGAAAGGAATTCTACTTTCTTTACAGCATGGCCTCTGTAGTTGCTTGCAGGGGAAAGGCTTTTCTACAACTGTAGATTCTTTAGAAAATTAGCTCTAAGCTTTGCAAACCTTTTTGCAAACCTTTTTTTAGAGGTCTACCAGACCTAAAGGGGGGAACCCCACGCTTTTTTTTTTACTTGGGGGGGGGTGGGTCCCTCCTAACATTCCTACCAGACCTATAGGGTCTGGTATCAATTGACGGGAACCACACGCTTTTCTTTTAATGTCACTTTACTGCACCGAAAATTCGTCCACAAACGAAACTTCGTACAGACTACCTCTAACGAATTTCGTCTGAAATAAAAAAAAAAATCGGAAATTCAGATTCGTTTTCATTCGTCATTTCTGAAATTCGGATACATCCAAATCTCCGAATAGGGGAAATTTGGTCAAAAAACATTTTTTTCCGAAACAAATCGCACATGTCTACATAACATTAAGACCATATCTGCAGAGTTTAGCTGAGAGCTCTAGTAAACTGCTTAGAATAAATTACCCTCATTTATGTCCTTTTTACAAATAATCATTGATTCTCACTATATAGATTACCACATCATTCTGATTGCAACTTTGGCAGTCTTAAAATGTGACAATGAATATCACACTCTAAACTAAACCAAACCCACCATATATTTGCCTTGCTCCATCAATCATTTCCAGTAAAGTAATACACATAGCAGTGAAAATGTGCAAAGTGCAGTAATTCATTGCAACCAGAGTAATCACTAAACCAAACTGCTGCCAGTCACCTGGAATCCACTTGCTATGGTTATACTTTGGATATCATCAATGGTCTTTGCATTAATTTGATTTCACGTATTTTCTATAATTAACACTCATTATTAGTTATAAAAGTCTAATTATTAATATAAAAGAATAATGATAAAAGTCTAGTTACTATAGCTTTCTCTGTTTCACTTCCCTTTGCAGTTTAATGTAATAGTAATAACATGTTAGCTAGATGACCATCACATTGGCAGCATGTGAATTTACATTTTAAAAAGGCTATTTGAATGAGCAGTTAGTTGCATCTTACCTGCAGCTACAGGAGGAACCTTGAACAACATATATTTTGTTTTCCCTTTGTCACCAATTGATGTCCCCATATTTATTGTGTTCCCAGCATTGTCATAATGTGGATGAGATGTGGCCAAATTAACCGTCACATACTTCATATAGTCCACCTGCAAAAAAGCCAAATTCTAAAAGTTTAAGAATAGTTGCATTAGACATCTATCTATCTATCTATCTATCTATCTATCTATCTATCTATCTATCTATCTATCTATCTATCTATCTATCTATCTATCTATAATTTTATATATTCTAATTTGTGAAAGTAAAACATCTGACAAACAATTTCTAGTTTTGTATATAATGGGGAAGGGTTTGAACCTCCGTCCAATTTTAATTGCTCTATGTATCCCCATAAGGGAAAATATGCCCTCATTTCCGGTTTCTCTCAGAGACACAACAGGAATTGAGATGCAATCTTCCCAAAGGAGAAATCCGGTCTTTGACAGTTGTCACCAGGGTCAGTTGGGAGATTGGGAGATTTTCACTTCTCTCCTTTCCTGATAACGATTGCAAAATGTCAGATTTTTTTAACTTTCTGTCCCAGTAACAATAGCCACCAATTCAATAATAGAGACAGCTGTCAAAGACATGCAACAATAGATGACTAGAGACTACAGGCATGATATAGGAGTTTTGGGGGATTGAGGGCATGCTTTAGGACAGCGGTCGCCAACCTTTCGGACCTCACGGACCACTAAATTCATAATTTAAAATCCTGCGAACCACTAATATGAATCTTTAAAATATATATATATTCTCATTGTGTGTGTGTGTGTATATATACACACACACACACACACACACACACACACACACACACATACATATGAGAATATATTTATATATGACGAAACAACAAATATGAGAATATATCTATATATACACATACAGCATTTGTGGAATATAACATGGGTGCAAAAAATGAAAAAAGGGCCTCAGTCATGAAGGGGTTAAGCAGCTGAGACTGGCGCAAAATCAACTGTTCTTAGGGTATTTTCTCTTCTGTTTTGCAACATTGTTTCTATCTGCCAAATGCAATCATCACCACCAGTTTACAGGCCCGGATTCCCCACAAGGCCACCGAGGCCCGGCCTCGGGGCGGCAGGGCGCAGAGGGGCGGCAGAGGTGTCCTTGTAGGGAAGTTGCCCTCTCTACATTCAGTCCTGCATTGTACAAGCAGGACTGAATGTAGAGTGAGGCAGACGATTTTTCGTTTACATGTGAAATCGGCAATGTCGCTGACATGACATGTAAACAGTGTGCAGCCTCCGCCCCCCTGCACTTACCTCTCTCCTTTGGTTCCGTCCTCCGGGCTCCGCCACCGAGTCTGTCTCCTCACTGCAGTGAGCGGCAGGGTTAAAAGTAGCCCTGTCGCTCCGTGTAGACTGTAGACAGTGAGAGGGGAGAGCTGTGCTTTCCTCTCTCACCTGTCACAGGAATTCCATCACAGTGCTGTGCTAGAACTCCTGTATTGGAGGTGACAGGGTCAATAAAGAGAACCTGTCACCTCCAATTGCTATCAAACAGGGAATGGTTTATCCTGTGTGATAGCAATAAAGTTAGGTGAAAAAAAATGACATTGATTTAAAAAAAAATTTACATATACACACATATATACATATACACACATATATACATATACACACACACACATTTTAATACTGTAATTGTATTAGTAATAAGCAGCAGCACAATGCCACCTTCAGGTTACAGTAGTAACTACAGTGCCATTTGCAGGCTGAAGATTAATTTTGAGGGTTATTTACAAAGGAATGGCTTCTTCACTTCAGCTCAGCCGAACATGCAGAGCATGCTCAGCTGACCGAAGGCAGCCGATGGCGGCTGATTTTAGCCTATGTACGGCTGAAATCCGCTGTACGGGGCCGAAGTGAATAGCTGAATGCCATTCGGCTCACTTCACTTTGGCTTGGTTATTCAATCGGCTGCCTTTGGCAGCTTAGTGAATAGCCCTCTTTGTAAATGAAGCCTTCAGGCTGCATGAGATCAATACAATATAGCTGTCATAGTAATCACATGATCAGGCAATCCCCAGCAACCTGACATTGGCTTGCATCATGTGCAGGGAACTCTTTCAGAGAGCTCTATAATTCAGACTAAAATGAGGAGCCAATGCAGTCATCTGCCAAACTATGCACTAGAATATGACCATGCTTTCAGTGGCACTCACTCCCTATATCACTTCTATACAATATACACTAAACTAAGACTAAAAGTCTTACATCATTATATACAGAGTAGGCAGTCAGTTAAGAGCTCGATAATAAAATAAGATTATTTATATTCTTAGTAACAAAGTAAAAAAACTAAACTGTTATGAGACTTATTTACCTTGTCTAGCGTATCCAGAGTCTGCGGATCAATTTTTCTGATAAAGTTGGTTTCAGAAGAAGCATAATAATCATCTCCAAACTTTATGATGTTAATTAAGCAATTATCAGTGAACTCAGGCACCACATGTGACAGGTACGTGAAGGCTCTGTTATGTAAGTGATAAAGCATTAAAAGTGGAAAGTAATGGCTCAGATTACCTGTCCTATGGTTACTAGTGACTAGATCACTTCTAACTGAATTATAATCATGCTGTACTAAAAGCTTTCAAGTTACAGTTGGAAATAAGTATAAATCCTCTTTCCTCATTCTATGTTCCATATTCTGTATTCAGTGCCTGACTTAATTAATGTCACGTGGGAGGCAGAGGTGTGTGTGCCTATGCAAATACCAGCTTTCAAAAAAATAACCATTAGCATGTAGACTTGTGCGCCGTCAAAAAATTTGTTCTGTTTCGTTTCGGAATATCCGTTATTTCGTATTTCGTAATTCGTAACTGAACTCAATTCGGATTCGTACTAAATACCAATTTTCGTTAGTGGCATTTGTAATGCAACTCTCAGCAGCAGAAGAGAAAACCTCTGATTGATAGTCAACCAAAACGAAATACGAATTCCGTTAACGGATTCCGTATCCGAATTTCGGATTTAAAAAAAAAATACCATCAACTAATATAAATGTACTTTGCTTTTTAACTTCAATATAACGAATGTTCGTAACGGAATTTCGTATTTCCTGCCTGTGTGTGTATTGTAATGCAACCCTCAGCAGCAGCGGGTCCGTATCTCGGATTTAAAAAAAAATCTTGTAATGTTGTTCAACCTCATTTACTGGGGTAATATTAGTTCCTGTTTCAAAGAAATTCGGATCCGAAATTCGTTAACAGAATTTCGTATTTCGGATATTATTCGGAAACTGCCATTCGGATTTCGGATGCTACGAAATTCGGAATTTCTGGAAAATTCGTACGAATTTCGATTCGTAATGAAACGAATCACACATGTCTATTGGCATGTGAAATTCAGCTCTGGAGGCACTGCAAGACTCCTTAAACTAAATCTCTCCAGGAGAAACCTTGGTTTTAATAAATCACTGGTTTGTTCTAAAGCCAATATTAATTCTATAAAAGTGACTTTGTGTTAAAAAAAGGTATATTAACAATATTCACCAAGACAGTATAGGACCCAACAGGATCAGACATTCAAATGCACCTAAGCCAGCAGCATTTTCCTATTTATATCTAGATATAGATATATCAGTATGTCTTTATTCTTTTTTTATATTGTATATGTGCAGTGAGATCTACTCAGTTAAGGGGTCTATAAAGCAATGGCCACACATGCACAGTACAATCAGTGGAGATTCTAAGGTCTTAAAGTCTTAGCAATCTAGAGGTAAATGACTGATATGATGCTTGTACTGGATGTGTGGGGGCAGAAGGGTTAGGAAAAAGACTGGGGCAGTTTTTAAGCATTCCTATCCTTTAATCCTCACTTTCTGTAAGTTAATTTAGCAAAACGTGAGCAAAGTCTCAACCATTGACTGTAGATAGAGAGCATTGTTCTGCTTTAGGCCTTAGGACAGGGTATCTCTTTAATAGTTCTGTGTGAGTGTCTGAGTGCATGAGTGTGTGTGTCCATCTGTTTTATTTTCAGTATGTATTTATTCTTTTTCATAAGCACAGCACCCTTGTAGTGCTCTGCAATGCAAATGCTCTACAATGAAATGTGCTGCCTTAAAGAAGAACTCTGGGCATGTAAACAATTAACCCTTGTAGTGAAACTACTTCCGCACTGCAAAGGATAACTGCTCATTTTGGTCAAGGGTCTAAAATAAAAATGATTCACTCACCTGATCCTCTGCTCCAGCTGTGGAATTTCCCTCGACATTCTCACATCCAATGCAAGTCAATGGACGTGATGATCCACGTCCATTGACTTGCATTGGATGTCATGCATCCTTAGATCATCGGAGTCTGGCGGAGAAGAGGCTGCAGGGACTAGTGTATCAGCCAGGTAGGACTAAGGATCATGTAAGTATATCTTGCTTGAGTAGGCTGCCTTAATGAAACTTAAGGAGTTATTCACAAAAGAGTTTGGAGAAGGCAGGAGAAGGGAACAATGTAGGACAACATCGCTGAACTGGAAAGTGAGCTGAACTGGAGAATTTTTCCAAATCAGCTATGTTGTCCTAGATTGTTCACTTCTCCTGCCTTCTCCAAACTCTTCACCCTTTTGTGAATAACCCTGTTAGTTTATTGCACAACATACTGCATTTTAACATGAACCACATGTAAACGAATTGCACATGCTCTGATATGTACTGCCAGCCCAGTATTCATTACTACAGCTTGCACAGCATATACTCAAGCACCAGGCATTACTTTGTGGGATGTGAGCAGGGGTTGTACCTATTCTCCATTACCAATAATTAAAAAAGCAGCAGGACTCCCACTCCTCACTGTTTGTCGGACAAATTTCAGCCCGGCTCCTTTAACAAAAGTGGACTGAAAAAGCAAAGGGGTGCCGGCAGTGCCACAAACTGCTTGAATTAGTTTACATTTATTGTATTCACAGTTTGCTTTAACATAAACATCTAGCTAAATCAAAGCAACAAAGCAAATGGCAGCTGGTAGTTGATGGTATATGTTGTCAGTAGATTGCAATGCACAAAGTTTCATCTCAGAGCTGCCCAGAGTCTCCCAACACTGGTAAATACTGTATGTAGCACCTTGTTCTGCTTTGCTGTTTGAACAGGAATAGGCATGCCCCTGACATGACAATGGCTTGGTCTGCTGATAGATAGCTCAGGCATCAAGCATTGTGTTGAGGGATGGGGTAGGTGAATGGCTAATCACTACCAGGATATGGGTATACTGTAGGAGGCTCATGGCAGTTGTCAGGTGAGAGTCTCTGCAGCAGCTGCTATGTGCTGACACCTTAGTTTGTTAGCTAACTGCTAGTGCCCTTAGCTTTGTTTGAGCCACAGGTTTGCTTTAAAGCAACCCTGCCAGTAAGTACGGTATATTAAAGCAGGCCTAGCCTGAAAAAGAAGAGGTAAATACTTCCCTGTCTTAAAACTGCTGCTGCAGTTAAATTACACTTCCAGGGGTGTCAAATACCTGCCAGCAGGGCCGCATTTCCCACAAGGCCAACCAACGCCTGGCCTTGAGGCAGCAGGGAGTAGAGGGGCAGCAGGGTTGTGGAATCCCTATCTCACAATGCCCAGCAGGGCAAAATGTACAGCAGGGAAGCTGCCGCTTGTTTTGTACAATTGGGTAGGGGGGCACATTGAGGAACCTGGCCTTGGGGCAGCAGAGAGAGTAAATCCGGCCCTGCCTGCCACTCCCCCACACGCAGTGGCTCCTCCAGCCAACTTCTATATCACTATCACAATAGGGGCTAGTGGGGGGAACTATAGTACAATGGTTGCAGAGCAGGTAATGGGCACACCTGGAAGTGGCACGACCAACACATTGGCTGCCAGAAAGGTAAGTGCTTGCCTCCTTTTTTTAAAGGCTGGCCATAGGTTAATTGGCTGTACTCACTAACAGGGTCTCTTTAAAGAAAAGACACACATCTGAGAATGAGAGGAATAGAAGTGACAAGTTTGGAACTTACTTAGAGAAGATATTTTTGCAGGGGTCTGGATAAGCCATAGTCCCAAATTCCGATACCACTATTCTTTTGGCCTCCATGTTGGAATTATATGTGTCACTACGCAGGAATTTACTCCTGTAGTATACTTCACCTACAAAGCAACAAAAACATTTTGAAACAATACAATATATTACATTAACAAAACCAGCCTGTGAATTGCATCAGATTGTATTTATCAGGACGGAATTGATGCTGTGCCTTGCGCTGAATCAGGAACCTTTAAGCGTATTCATTGTTCAATCTTTATGTATTATTTTCTGTGAGTTGGCCAGAGGTGCTTTGGTTAATTAACCAGTTTGGATAACTAAAATGAACTTTACATTTTTAAACATGAGCACAACTGGGGACCTCAGGCAGCCCGCGGGGGACTTCGTGGCGGCTGTGTTTTACAGCGCCGGTCCAGCCGCACATTTCCTCTTCCTCCTTCCTGCCATCCAAGCAGCCATGGGGAGACCCGGAACAGCCCTGGTAAGACCCGCACCCGCCCACACTGCCATGGGGAGGCCTGCACTCAGCCCTGGTGAGACCCATACACAGCCCTGGTGACACTACACAGTCCTGGTGAGACTCGCACGCAGCACTGGTGAGATCTGCACACAGCCCTGGTGAGACCCATACGCAGCCCAGGTGAGACTACACAGCCACAGTCATAGTGAGACCTATACGCAGCCCTAGTGCGACCCGCATGCAGCCCAGGATAGACCACACAGCCCTGGTGAGACTGCACAGCCCTTTTCACATGGTACAGCCCTGGTGAGACCGCACACAGCCCTGGTCAGACTCTGCACAGCCTCTGAGATGCAGCACAGCCCTGGTGAGAAACACAGAGGTGTAGCTTCATATTATTTTGCATTGCTATATAATGGATCGCTGAGATTTGTAGTCCTCTATAGCTGATGGTATTCTGCCTTGCTGTATTATGTGTTCTGCATTGTTCCTTAAAAAACAAGTCAGCAATCGCACTCCCCATATGTGTTTCATGACAGATTACTCCTAAATAATTGGCTTCTTTAGGAACACTACTCCATAAAGACTAAAACAGATGGTTCTGAACTTCAAGTTTTACTGCTTGAAGACCAGGTGTTTAGACCCCCTTCCCATCCAGGCCATTTTTCAGTATTCAGCGCTGCGGTACTTTGACTGACGTTTATTCCGTCACGCAACGCTGTACTGAAATTAATTTTATACCATTTTTTGGGGACACATAGAGCTTTCTTTTGGTGATATTTAATCACCACTGGGGGTTTTATTTTTTACTATAATTAGGAAAAATGACTGAAAATTTAAAAAAAAAAAGTGTTTTTTTTTACATTATGTTAAGAAACATTTATTATTACCCAGTTTTTCTGTAAAATATAAAAGTCGGGGTCACTTCGGGTAAATAGACACCAAACATGTCAAGCTTTAAAATTGCGCGCACCCGCGAAATCGCAGAAAACTACCATACCCAAAATCGGCCACAGGCGACACTTTAAAAGCTTTTACCGCTCATCAGTTTAGTGTTATCAGTGATTGATGGCCCTAGAATTCACCGATCGTTACCCCATACAAGCGATCCGCCGGCTCTACAGCCGGCGGATCGCTTGTATGTTAACAGGCATCGCTGCCTGTTTTTAAATATCGGGCATTTCCCACTCGCGCGCGGGGGCGTGTCTGAGTGGATGTCTAAAGATGCCTGCTCAGATCTAGAGAGCTCCCGGCCGGCCGTTTTTTACTACGACCGGCCTGGAGGTAGTTAAATATAACAAATATAACCTCTTTCTAGTACAAATGGACACAAACTTACCATTTTTAAAAGTAAAACTGTGCAGTAACGATAGTCCATCAAACCAGTGGTTATAGGACATCTCTCCAACAGAGTGTAGTCCCGGACCATTTCGAATCAGTGTTCCCTGCAGCCAGTTTGGTATGTGACCTGCAACACAAAGTTAAAAGCATTTGACTGTGTGTGGGCTAAATTAGTATAGTTTAAGGAGTGCAACAAAGTAACAAGAACAAACGTATACATTTTATATATCGTAGATTAAATATATTGCAGCATTCAGAAGTGTCAAATGCAATTTACTGTACATCCTAGCATAGTAATACCCAATTACTTATCTAGTTTAAAGGGTAACTGCAATTTTACATAAATAATATTCCAAAGCTGACACGCTCATCAAAAATCTGTTGTGCCAGGGTCCACTCTTCCATCCTGCTTTTCGGTCGATGGCTTTTACGGCCTGGCTACTGAAACACAGATGTTAAAAGACAGAGGAGTTTCGGATTCTGTTATCCTGACTATGATGAAGGCTCGTAGATTTTCTACTTGTGAAATTTATCACTGTATGCGGAAGGCTTATTTTCATTGGAGTGAGTCATTGGGGTTTTTCTATTTTGTGAATTTTGTCTGTTCCTCAATCAGGGGTAGATCAATGTTTAGCTCTCAGTACCATTAAGGGTCAGCTATTAGGGATGGGCCGAGTGTTCGATTCGAACATGAGTTCGAATCAAACATCGGCAGTGTGAGCGCTCGCCGAACGCTGGACTTTATGGGATGTTCGCGGCAGCAGTGGCGGTACGGGGGGCAGCGAAGGCATGCAGCGGTCTGTGTCCCCACTGTCTCCGCCAACACTGGCGCGGAGAGCAGCGGGGATTTAAAGGTACACAGGTCGCTGCAGCCACAGTTCTCCTAAATGTACCGGCAGCTGCCGGTACATATAGGAGAACTGTGGACCCGGTTCTTAAGTACGGATTTTCCGTAACCCGGGGACTGCCTGTATAAGCCCTCTTAAAGGGGACATTCATTTTCGAACGTTCGACCCCCATTTACTTGTATTGAGTTTGAGTTCGTATTCAAACTTTTCGGGCGTTCGAATGTTTGAATACGAACCGAACACGGTGGTGTTCGGCTCATCACTATCAGCTATCTGCCTTGTCTGTCCTTTTTTATAGTCCTCTGGCTTCTATTTCCTTGATTCCTACTTTTATTCAGGGAGTGCCACATAGACTTCCTCCTTTTAGGTCTCCTCTTCCTCAGTGGGATTTGAACTTGGTTTTCCCTGAAGATGGCGGACGCGGCACAGGTACTCGTTTTATGTATCAGAGTATTTGCACGAGTACGAGTACTCATGCAAATACTCGGTATCGCCGCCGATACCGATGCTTGTATCGGTATTGGTGCATCCCTAGTTTTATCTGTTCTACAAAAACCTCCTTATGAACTTGTCCGAGACAATTCTTTGTAGGGATGCAACGATATACCGAAAGTGCCATTTTTTTGACGATATAGTGGTGCATCCGTTCTTTCTCTCCTCCTCGCTGGGTGCTGCTCTGTGTCCGAGCGGGAGGAGAGAAACTGTCACAGACGGCCGAGCGCAGCGGTAGGAGAGCGCTGTGAGCAGCCGGAGTCTCTCCTCCCCGCACTGCTCAGCTTCCTGTCACAGATCAGAGGAGAACGGCCGTGTGGGGACGAGGACAGCCAGCACTGTCACAGGAGGCTGGCCGGCGGTGCGGGGGAGGAGTCAGCGGTCAGATCCAGCTCTCCTCCCGCACCGCTCGCTCAGCCTCCTGTGACAGCTGTGAGGAAGCAGAGCGAGGTACAAACACTTAGTGATCACTGAGTGTTTGTAAATAATTGAGGACAGAGTATGGTTACTATATCCTCAATTATGAATGAATGGGAAGTGATCTACATCACCTCCTGTTCATTCATGATTGTGGATATAGTAAATATACATGTACTCAGGGGCGTCCCGAGGCCGGGTGTCACCCAGAGTGGAAACCAGGTGATACCCTTTGTGACGCCACTGTATGTCCTCATGTTATAAATGAACAGGAGCACTCAGTATAGAGGCTTCCTCTTCATTTATAACTGGGGATACAGAAAAAGATTGAGGACCCCCAATATTTCCCAGAAGCATCTAAAAGTAAAGTAAAAAATAAAAATGTTTAATAAAAATAAATAAATATAAAATGTAAAACAATTTAAAAGTTCATAAAAAATGAATAAAAATAAAATATTTGAAAAAGTTTTTTTCATTTCGGTTTTAACATTTTCATTTCGATACACCTCTAGTTTTTTGTCTTTTTTATCCAGATAGGTTGCCTTTCTTGTGTCCGTTACCTCAGCTAGAAGGGTTTTTAAGTTGTCTGCTTTGTTTTGTAGAGAATATTTTTTGGTTCTTCATAGGGACAAGGTTTGTTCTGAGACTGAAGATTTCCTGTTTTACAGAAGGTGGTTTTGTCTTTTCATTTAAATGAAGACATTGTTTTACCTTCACTATGTCCAACTCCTGTTCATCCTAAATAAATTTCTCTTCATTGTTTGAATGTTGCGCAGTTTTTGTCAGCCACAGCTTCTTTTAGATATACAGACTCTTTATTTGTTCTTCCAGAAGGTTCTAGAAACGTTTGTTGAGCTTCTAGATCCACTATTTCTAAGTGGATTCATTAGGTTGTCATTCAAGCTTATGATTTGCGGGATAAGGTTCCTCCTTTTCCAATTTCTGCTCATTCTACTAGGTCAGTTAGTACTTCTTGGGCATTTCGAACTTCTGTTACTCAAATTTGCAAGGCCGCAATTTGGTTTTCTGTTCACACTTTTACTAAGTTTTATTAAGTTGATGTTTCTGCCTCTTGTGATGCTAGTTTTGGCAGAACAGTTCCTCAGGCAGCTGTTTGAATATATTTTTACAGTTCCTTTTTTCTTGTTGAATTAGTTTTTCCAGTTGTTATGGTGTCCGCCCCTCTGTTTCAACCGCTTTTGAAAGTCTCTACATATCAGAATTATTCAGAGTTGTGTTCCCCAATGAATGATAGAGAAAATAGGATTTTGTTCTTACCATCAAATCCTTTTCTTGGAGTCCATTGAGGGACACAGGTCCCTCCTCTCAATTCCTCATATATTGCTTGCTACAACTGGCAGATGGGAGGTGGAAGGGGTTATGTCCTTAAAGTGGCAGGATTTTAATTTTCTGTTTGCCTAGTGGCCATTTTTCCTTGCGGCAGCAGCAGTATAACCCTACGTATCAGAATTCTTCAGAGCTGTGTCCTTCAATGGACTTGGAGAAAAGGAATTTATGGTAAGAACAAAATCCTATTTTATGTAGTGAGTGCTGCCTTCCATCTGCCCATCACTTTGAACTAGGGATGCATCGATACCGATACTGATATCATATCAGTGCTGATACCGAGTATTTGGGTCATTACATGCTGCCCGGCTTTCTGATTGGCTGGAAAGCTAGCTCCATGCTCCCTCATCATTTGGTCAATCAGGAAGCCGTGCAGCGTGCAATGACTCACCACCTAGCTTCCTGATTGGTCAGGAAGCTGGCCAATCAGGAAGAAGGATGGCGAGTCATTACCTGTACCTAGTAACGAGGGAGGATGGAGCCGGCTTCCCGGCCAATCAGGAAGCTGGGCGCCGTGTAATGACTCGCTGCCCGACTTCCCGATTGGTCAAGAAGCTGGCCAATCAGGAAGCCAGGCGGCGAGTCATTACCCGCCCCCCGGCCTCCTGATTGGCCAGAAAGCCGGCTCCATACTTCCTCGTCACCTTGTGTTGGGAAGCCGGGTCACCTTAATTGGGAAGCCGGGTGGCGAGTCTTTACATGCTGCCCAGCTTCCTGGCTAATCAGGAAGCCAGGTCCCGAGTCATTACACTCCACCTGGTGGCGACGTACACTGTACGTCGTCAGTCACGAAGGGGTTAATTTGGTATCTTCAAGTGCCAAAAAAAAAAATATCAGTACTCGATATAACGAAAAACCGGTATTGGTGCATCCCTACTTTCAACAATATCCTGGATTCCCAGTGTGCAATATAGATTGATATGGTTATTAGGACTGGAGTAGAACTAATGGAAATTCCATATAGAATTGCATATGTAATGTTTAGTTCTTGATAATATATACCCTTTAAGCACAATTAGGGAATACTTGTAATAAAGGTACACATGTCAAGGGGTTCTTGAGATAAAATGATCCACACCAGGCGTTCCTGACAATCATTGGCTTCTATAAAGGGATAAACACTTTAAAATTGAGAACAATAATATGAATACCAAAGTTAATGGAATATTACACTTGTAACAAGCTGCCTCTCCTCCTGCTTAGATTATTTTTAAGGCAATGGCTTCTACTCCTTATTAGTAGCCAGCGTCCTCACAGCTATTGGGTTTTATGAAAGGAAGAACGCCTGATTAGTAAATTGTGCACTGAGGTAAAATTAGAGGTCATAATGTCATGCTCCAGAGATTAGAGCTTGAATTTCCCACTCTTTGTTCTAGGATTTCCCACATTTTATACGCTCCAATTTCTGCATTTAGAAAGCCCCAGATAAAAGTTGGATGTGTGTCTCACTTCAGGCGTAAAAAGGATGCACTTTTGTTGTGGAGCAGCCAACATTTGAAGTCATTTCCGCTAATGTTTTGCTGCTAAGGAGGTGTATAGAAAGAGCAATCTTTTGGGTCTGCAAAAATGTTAGGTCTTCTGCATGTACAGCTCCCGATATAAATGGTTCAAAATAGCCATACATAAATAAAGTCTTACCCCCCAAAAAAATTAAAAATATCTGCGTCAGCCCCAGCTTCTGATGTCTCAGGGTGGGGTGGGTGACGTCACCATGCCTCACTGCTGCCTCCCAGGAAAGCTGGGTGCTTGAGATCCCTTTGCCCTGGGAGGTTCATTGATGTCACTTGGGTTCACTACTTACATCAATGACAGTATGGGTATAATACTCAGTATAGTGAATTACGTCATGTGAGAACACCTTGTAAAGAGCTTTGTAAATCCGGTGAAAAGAAAAACTTTCATGCTTGAAGAATGGAGCATTACTGCCGCATCTGACAATAGTGCTTGTGGTAATACAGCTTTATGCTGCATTTCCTAAGGTAAGTAATGCAGCCTCTTCATTTCCCCCCTAGAGTTTTGGGGGGGGGGGGGGGTAATGGAAGGGTTTTTTTTCCAGCCCGGAGTTCAGCTTTAACAATAACAACAGACCACAAATGCACTAGCCAGTTGCAACTAGTGAGCCTTGTTACTGTTGTTTTTGTGCAACCAAAACATGGAATCGCCTTACAGGAAGTGAAAACGTTACTTTCATGTCTTGTGACACATCAGTTCAATTTCTCCACTTTGATTTCAGGTTTAGAGAGTTCTGTTCCAGTTTTTTTCCATTTCCAAACCCTCACCATTTGGATACCATACCCCCAAGGACTATGGATACCCCCAGTTAAGATCTCATGTCATGCAAGTTGTTGAGAATCAGAACCATCTCTTGCAATCATTGGACTATTTGTGATCACCTGACGAAGGGGGCGTGCCCCGGAAATGCGTCGACACGCTGGTATATCGATCTGCACACAGGACACTTCTGACTGACTGCCACTGTATCAGTTTGGCTCTCGTTTTTACATTGTGTCCAATGCTTGTGATCCTTCCACTCTTGTGAGTATCCATTTTTAAGACTTTATCTCATCTCTTATTGAAAAATAAAACTTATCTGCAAGAGAAGGCGCCCCTCTCGTTTTTATCTTGTAGTGTCTCCAGTCTCCCCGACTGCCTTTGGAGCTGCCTCCTGCATAGATGCCACTACATCCACTCTGTCGCTAAGACTGTATATGACTACCTCTGGCGCTGCTTTCTTCATTTTTTATTTGTGATCACCGTTCACCGATTATACTAAAATATTGCAAATCTGATTGTTGTACCTTACTGTACACCATTGCTCTTTGCACTGTGGCATGATATACTCTTATCTGAGAACTACGTTTGTATATGTAGTATCAGTCCTAGAACACAAAAGCCTGTGCCATAGCCGGTAATTAGATAATGTTGAAAGGTTTTATAACAGCGCATAGCAGATGTGCACGTAAGGAATTATTGCAAGTTGTTCATGGAGTGTGTAATTATATTCACACCACAATTTCCCATATTATACCTATTTTGATAATTATATGCTCCTTTTGCTTGCCATTACAAGCATGCACATGAGGAAAGTCAGAGAGTCCTTATCTGCAAATTTGTTCCAGATTTGAGACTCAATGTAAGTGGTTTAGCATGACAGCCAGACAGCTAGCAGTCTCAGAAGGAGGTCAGCAGTAGCAGCCTCCACCTATATGACAGGTTTCCCTTAGAAATAGAATACACTTGCCAGCATCATGCAAAGATAGTGCACCACACACATAGCACATTAAATATAAAATATAAATAACATTTGACAGTCCAAAAAAGATCATCATAATCAGTTGCTGTGAGTGACTATATATTTACTTCTGACGTTTATTTAGATAACATTTGGATGTATAGCTACACCAATCTGAGATTATATTGAGGGAAAAATTACTGCTGCTGTTTTGAAACTCACTGATGGATATCACCCATTCCAATACCCTTATGCTGGCCATACACTGCTCGAATTTTGGCCGAATCAGTAATTCAGTTTGTGGTCCTGACGCTCAACATAAGTCGATTTCTCAAAGTGGAAAATTGATGGCCGAATGTCAAAGTACAATAGCCTGGCACTGTTAGAATCCCCCATCTATGCTAAACAGCATGGGGAAGTACAGGGAAAAACTACAGGTGTAGGTCTAGCTTTAAACTAGTTCCGTCTTTTTCTCTTCAACCCGCAGGCAGAACAAGGGAAAATCATTTGATTCCACCATCCACGCTATAACATGGATAGAGGAATCTCCACTACCCGCTATTGTATTCAGCAGCCAGGGCACCTGCTACGCCCTGAATACAGTAGTGCTGTTGATCAGTGACAGCATCTGATAGGATGTAGTTGCTGTTCAGCCAATAATTCTACACCCCACTTTTTAAATAGACTTTTGTCGAGCTGGAGGGTTCAAGCGGGGCCACACATGTCTGGAATTTTGGCCCATTCGGATCATCCGAACCTGAGCAATCAATGGCCAGCCTTAGGGTCACCATACATGTTACAATCTGGCCGTACAATCTTTGTACAAACATCAGGCAGGCCCTTGCACTACATAGTTGTTGGTAAATCTAAATACAATTTGTAAAATCAGATTGTAAGGTGTGGTGAGCTTTTAGAGAGATAAATACAATAACCCATTGCAACTGATTATTTTTCCATCTCGCTGATTACAAATGCAATTGATTGTTGAAAGCTGATTGATTGCTGCTCTTTGCACCTCATATTAAATATACCTTCAGCGAATTAATTTGGCAGTCAACTAGAGAATTGTGGATAGAGATCAGACTGTGGCACTGTCCTGCATTGTACAATGAGTCAGCCAGGCAGCAATGTAGAACACAGCCAGCTTACCTTTTACTTCTGCTTTTATTGGCTCAGGACATTCCTGGCGGTTTTTGGAAAAGACGACTCCTACCACAGACTCTACTGGGTTATCTGCGCTCTCCATGTCTGGTTAACAGCCTGGAGGAGAGGGGCTCAGCTCTGCCTTGTTCTCCTCTGAGCTTATTTATACAGATGTCTTGGTCAAAGTACAGCATGGCTGATAATGTGTTTATAACTGCACAACCACTGACCAGCCCATTTTACTCCCTCACTCTCCCTCCTCCCCTGAGTCAGTGACAAGGAGCTTATCTCCTTCCTAGAAAGAAGGAGTCATGAAAACAGACATACAATTAACCTGTGCTGATCCAAATGGAATTACTGTTGCCACTTCCATATACAGTATGCACAGTTACTAAATAGCATCATGTGCTGGATATCTGAAAGGATATGAAGAAAATAAAACAGTTACTTATAACCGACACAATGTCAGGAATATATTCACTGCAATGTCAGTGTTATCCCAGCATACAATCAGATGTCAGAAAAATAATTACCACAATGTCAATGTTGCCCCAGTACACAATCAGATGTCAGAAAAATGTGCTCACTGACACCGTGGAGGTCAATTGGCATTTGCTATTGAACGCCAGAATTGGCCGGTCTACCACTGGTGCCCTGTGCTTTTCACAGATGAGAGCAGGTTCACACTGACCACATGTGACAGATGTGAAAGATATGAAAGGGTCTGGAGAAGCCGTGGAGAATGTTATGCTGCCTGTAACATCGTTCAGCATGACTGGTTTGGTGGGGGGTCAGTGATGGCTTGGGGAGGCATATCAATGGAGGGATGCACAGACCTCTACAGGCTAGACAATGGCACCCTGAATGCCATTAGGTATCAGGATGAAATCCTTGGACCCATTGTCAGACCCTACGCTGGTGCAGTAGGTCCTGGGTTCCACCTTGTGCACGACAATGCCCGGCCTCATGTGGCGAGAGTATGCAGCCAGTTCCTTGAAGATGAAGGAATTGATGCCATTGAATGGCCACCACGCTCGCCTGACCTGAATCCAATAGAACACCTCTGGGACATCTCAGTCTGTTCAGGAGCTCAGTGATGCCCTGGTCCAGATCTGGGAGGAGATACCCCATTACACCATCTGTCGTCTCATTAGGAGCATGCCCTGACGTTTTCAGGCATCTCTACAAGCACGTGGGGGCCATACAAACTAATGAGTACCATTTTGAGTTGCTGCAATGAAATTTCAGCACATTGGGCTAGCCTGCTGCATCATTTGTGCACTTTGATTTTTGGGGTGTCTTTGAATTCAGCCCTCTGTAGGTTGATAACTTTTCATTTCTATGAAACGATGTGGCATCCTTGCGTTCCTAACACATTACCCAGTCCAGTATACAGTAGATATCCAGCATGATATTTTTCCCCATTGAGATCTGATGTGTTTTCAAAGTGTTCCTTTATTTTTTTGAGCAGTGTATATATATTGCAGGTATTTATATACCTCAAACTATTTCTGTAGTACTTTACATATTAAACATTCACATCAGTCCCTACCCTTAAAGTGACACTAAACCAGGAGGCAAATCTTAAAAATGCATTCAAATACCTTAACTACTAATAAAATGTATTTTATTTGTGTATCATTGTAGATCCTCAAATCATCTCTGAATTGGTGCTGACACTGTCCTTCCTTCTGGAGGGTGGCTACTTTTGTTCCCCATGGTCCATGTGTGTGTTGTAAAGTAGCCACGGCTCCAAGCTCCCACCTGTGATGAACTACAATCTCAATACAATTTAATTAACTAAATGTGAGATTGTAGTGCATCACGGAAGTGAGCTTGGCAGAGCCGTAGCTAGCTCCTTTTGCGCCCAAGTCCTCAATCTTTTTTTCTGCAGACTCTGTTCTAAATGAATGTAAAGTACAGAGGCTTCCCATTCATTCAGAAAATATTTACTATCACCAGTTTCTGAATGGGGAGAAACCTCTGTACAGAGGGCTACTACCCATTGAGAAACTCATTAATGAACAGGAAGTGATATAAAGCACTTGTTGTTCATTCATAAATGGGGACAAATGGTACTATGTGTCCCCAGTTATTATTAAACACTGGAGTGATCATTTGATCACTCCAGTGTTTGCTCTGCACAGAGGATAAGTACATATCACTGATATGTACCGATCCTCTGCTGCTCGGCCATGCACCGAGGGGCAGCACAGCCTGCAGCTTTTCCTCTGGATCCCCACTGCTCTCCCCTGTTTCTATGGGCAGAG